TATAACTTTAAAAATGACAATTTTACCTAACTAATCTATTTATTCAATGTCATCCCAATTAAATTACTAAAAAATTATTTTACTGAGTTAGAAAAAATAGTAACAAAGTTCATTTGGAAGAACAAAAGGTCAGGAACTTCAAAGAAACCAGGGAAAAAAGATGTAAAGGAAGTAGATTCAGTAGTATCAGACCTTAAACTATATTATAAGGCAAGAGCATTGTTGAAGTGTAAAAAGGATAATTTTGATTATTTTAATTAAAATTTTCTTGTATAAATAAAACCTACATAGCTAAGAATAGAAGGAATGCAGAAAATTGGAGGAAAAACTTTCATAGATGGTCTCTCAGATAGGATGTGATTGGGTTGGAATGTTGCTGCGGTGTAGGAAATGATGAACTGGTTGATTTAGAAAAACATTGAAAGACTTGGACTTATGAAGGAAGATCGTGTCCACCTTCAGAGAAGCAGGTGATAGGAGGAAGTAAGCATAGCATACATATGTGTTTATATGTGTATATTTATAGATATCTATGTGTATATTCATATCTATATCCATATCTATATCCATATCCAGATCCATATCTATATCTATCTCTATATCTCCACACTTAATTGTAGCCTTCTTTAGGGTTATGGGAGGAGGGAGGGGAAAAATAAAGTAAATAGTACACAGCAGAGAACAAAAGAAAACCAACAGGGAAGCAAAGAAAAACTGGGCATTTGAGTATTACATTTGAAAACAATGTAATATTTATTATGTAGGTTTTCTTGAAGTGGAAATTTAAGGTTTTATATTGAATCCTCTCTTAGTATACATGGCAATTTTTTTTCTCATTTTGTATTTAAGTTTAAAATAAAAAAAAATTACAAATAAATAAATAAATAATTTTTTTTAAAAAAAAGCTAAGAGCCCTCAGACCAAGCCAGTATTTCTCCACAGGAGCTTTTTCACTAGCTCATGGTGTGACCTTGGGCAAGTCTCTCTGAGCCTCAGTTACTCCATCTGTAAAATGTTGAACTAGATCAGAAGTTCTTAATCTTTTTAGTATTATGAACCGTCGGTCAGTCTGGTGAAGCCTATGAATTCCTTTGGCAGCCTGGTGAAATCTAGGCACCCCTTCTCAGAAGAATGTTTTCAAATGAATAAAATAAAATACATAGGATTACAAACAAAACCTATTCTACTGAAATAGTTACAAAAATATACTTTTAGAAAGTTGTCAGACACTAGATTAATCTAGAGTAAAACTGGGTCATTAGATGATTTCAAAAAAATAATTTAATTTTTTTTAAATGAACAAAACTTTATTTCCTTTTCTTTCTACCTCTCCCCTCCCTAATTGGGGGAGAAAAGAAAAACCAAACCTTGTAAGCAATATGTTGTATCAAGCAAAAACAAATTCCCACATTGGGCCTTAATATATGTCTCATTCTGTATCTTGAGTCCATCACTCCTTAGTCAGGAGGGGGATAGCATGGTTTATCGCTGGTACTGGGTGATTCCAAGGGACCCTTCCAACTCCTATATTCTGGCCTTCTAGCTCCTGTCATGGCAACCCTCTGTCTGCCCCAAAGATACTTTGGGGAAATTATCAGATCAAACTCAGGGGAGAAGCTATGCATTAGGGAAGAAGGGGATTACTCTCTCCTCAGTAGCCTAGGCACTGATTCCTGGAATGTTAAAATTGGAAGGTACCTTAGAGATCTTGTTTAACCTTATTTTACACATGGGGAAACTGAGACCCAGATAGAGGACTAAGCAACACGTCTTCTACCTCTCAGGCCAACTCTTTCTGTTTGACCATATTGTACTGTGTGGCACTCTGGACTCATTAAGGGGAATGTGGAGGTTTGCTGTGGGAGGAAAAGATTGGGGGAATCGGGGGCTGGGACAAGGGTGGATCCAGATTGGCAGATGATTTCCTCAGATACTCGGGCGCCTGCTAGCCGGGGAGCAATGATGGGTGGCTGAGTTGGCGGACTGTGCTGGGAAAGACCAAAGACTTATTGTTCGGGAATCTGAGACCGCTGAAAGCTGATCCTTGAGCCCGGGCCCTCGCTGCTGTCTGTCGGAGATAATTTTAGTTAGATGCAATTTATCCTGCCCAGCCCAGGTCTCTGTTAATTAACCTCCGAGTTTTTCTGCTCTTGGAAGTTATTGAATACGGTTGGTTTCCCTGAGCACAGGCTGGCTCTTTGTAGCAGGGCCTTTCTTATAATTTCCCGGGCTGGGTTTAACGCTCCTGCCTCATCTCTATTCAGGGTGAAGATGATCTGGAAATGCTTTAAAGCAGAGGAGGCCAGGCTGGCCCCTCCAACCCATGGTTAAAATTCATTGAATGGAGAATAGAATAACTGGGCACTGAGGATCACTTGTTAATGGCTTTACGTCTGGAAGAATTGATGGAGGTCATTTAGTCCAATGCCCTTCATTTCAGGGGGACCAGAATGGACCTTAAGGATCCCAGGGGCCTAGATTTAGAACTGGAAGGGACCTTGGAGGTCATCTGGTCCAGAGGTGTCAAACATGCCTTCCCTGGCCTCTGCAGCACTCCTGCGCAGCCACATTAAAATGTAATTGGGAAGTATTTAATAAAATAAATAAAAGTACAATAAAACATTGATAAGGTGACATTTTAAAACTAAGACAATACGTGACCTACAGGGATCTTCGTGTGTGGTTTAGTGGCCACCATTTCTATTTGAGTTTGACATCACTGATCAAGTCCTCCCTCTTTATTTTAGAGATGAGGAAACCAGAGCCCAAAGACATTAGAAGATCCTAAACAGTATTAAGTGAGAAAGCCAGGTAGCAAAGCCAGCTTTCTTTCCATTGAACCCTACTGACTCCCTATGAGAATGTACATGGAAGAGGTAATGAGCCTAGGCCTCAGCCTGGCTCCAGGGTACAGTCGGATAAAGAAGCCTCTGGGCATGAGGAAACAGGAAAAACCATTCCTCTACTCTCTTCCTCACCCATTATCTGCCTCTGGTTGGGGAGGTTGTCCTAAGTGTGAAGGGCCTGAGTGCTAATCTCGTCTCTGCCCAGGTACTGGAATGTGGGGGTTCCTGCAAACCACCAGGGGCAGGCAGCAGCAAGCAACAAGAGAATGAGCCTGGCGTCTAGTCCCATTTTGTTGTGTGTCTGACTCTTGGTTGGTTCTGGAGTTTTCTTGGCAGAGATACTGGAGTGGTTTGCCATTGCCTTCTCTAGTTCATTTCACAGATGAGGAAACTGAGGCAAACAAGGTGAAGTGACTTGTCCAGAGTTACATAGCTAGCAAGTGTCTGAAGCTGGCTTTGAACTCAGGTCTTTTTGATTCCAGGCCCAGTGCTTTATCCATTGCACCAGCTACCTGCTCTGCAAAATGTTGCTGTTCAGTCATGCCTGACTCATCTTGATCCCATTTGGGGTTTTCATGGCAAAGATATTGGAGTGGGTTTCCATTGTCTTCTCCAGCTCATTTTACAGATGAGGAAATTGAGGCAAATAGGGTTAAGTGACTTGTCACACAGCTAGTAAGTTTCTGAGGCAGGATTTGAACTCAGATCTTCCTTACTCCAGGTCCAGTGCTTTATCCCTTGCTCTACCTAGCTGCCATCTCCAGTAAACCATATGACCACTTTAGCTCTCTTAGACTATCTTCCTCATCTGGAAAATGGGAAAATAATACCTCTTTTTTTGCTGCAGTGGCTGAGGTGCTAAACATAGGGTCAGAGGCCCTAGGTTCAAATCCTAACTCTGCTGTTTATTATCTATGTGACCTTTGGCAAATCACTTAACCACTCTGGGCCTCAGTTTCTTCGTCTGTAAAATGAGAGGTTGGACTGGATGATGCCTCAGGTTACTTCCAGCTTTAAATCTATGAGTCTACCTCTCAGGTTGTCATGACTATGAAATGAGATAATTGGGCAAGTCACTTCATCCCTGTTTCCATCTGTAAAATGAAGGGGATTGGGCTAGACAGGGTCCAAGGTCCTTTTCAGCTCCAAATCTATAATTCTTTGGTCCTTTGAAAACTATAAAGTGGAATACAAAGACTATGCATTCTTATAATGCTTCAGTTTCCCCATCTATAAAATGGGGTTACTCTTAATGGCTTTATTAAAAAAATCTAAAACAGAGCTATAACATCCAGGGTGAAAAATGAGGGGTAAATTTAAAGAATCCCTGTCCTTCTTTGCCTTGTTTTTGTTTCCTGATTTCCTTCCTGCATGAATTAGAAATCACCACTTGTAGAGAAAGCCAGTGTTAGAGGAACACTGGCTTTCATTGTCTCAGGCCCCGGTACAAATGTCCCAGTGAGGGAGATCATTGACCAAGGGAGGAAGTCTGTGATGGCGAAAGTCTTGTATTGTGAGTCAGTAGGCCTGGTTTCTTATCTTAGCTCTGTCGGGGAAAATACCTTTCGTTTTCTGGATCACGATTTTCTCTTCTTTAAAGGGAGAGGATTGGGCCGGTGCTTTCTAATGTTCTAAGACTCAGTCCTATGAGCCTAATTAGTTAGGCCCTTGCTTCTGTGTGAAATCGCTGGAACGCTTGCTCTCTGTGAGTGAGTGCATAAAGGAAGCCTCTATCTCTTCCAGGAGAGAACAAATGGTCTTGGGACTAGCCAAGTTTTTTTCCAGAAGCTAGTTAGAGAAAGAGGAGAAGGGTGAATTTAGTAGGAGCTTCAGATTCAGGGAAGGTAACAGTCGTCTTCTGAAGATGGGGGGACAGTCTCAATCTGGACTGAGGGACAAAACTGTGGGCAGCTCAAGGAGATTGACGAGGGTACTTTGACCTGAGAATTGACCAGACTCCAGAGGCTGGAAGAAGATATTCAGAACAAGGACGTTTGGTCTCCTAGGCCAGCCAAACGCAGAGGCTATAAATAATTCCCACTACCAGGGTGGGGTATAAAAATCCTTTTAAATCTTCACGCTTTATGGCAAAGCAGAAACTTTCTTGGGACCTAAAAAGGCTCATCTTGATCTAGTAGGATGCTTCTGTCCAGAATGGCCTGGAATCCTAATGGCCTGCAATTTAATCTGGTGAGTTTATTAGGTAAAAAAGAAAAAATTTTTAGGAGATGTATGATACTCCCTCAATTCTCCACATTTTCCTTAATGAAGTCAGTCCAGGAAGACTGGTTATTGTACTCTATTCAAAGAAAGTTCTTGCTGTTGTACAATTGTGTCAGACCCTTCACGACCCCATTTTTTTTTTTTTGGCAGAGCTCCTGGAGAGGTTTGCCATTTCCTTCTCCAGCTTATTTTACAGATGAGGAAACAGAGGCAAATAGGGTTAAATGACTTGCCCAGGGTCACACAGCTAGTAAGTAGCTGAGGTGGGATTTGAGCTCAGTTCCTCCTGACTCCAGGGCTGGCACTCTATCCACTGTGCCACCTAGCTGCCCCAGTTCCAATATAGGTATCTTCAACTCAAGACTTTTTGTTTGCAAGCACTTAAGCTATTTCTTTCCAGATGCTTTGCCTATAGTTAGGATGTACTGGCCACATGTAAGTCCTGGTGCTTCCTGGTCTGGGTAAGGATTTCCTAGCCTAGAGGCATAATTAACTGAGATATAAAGAGCAGCACGCTTTTCCACTTAATTAATATTTTTCTGTAAAAATGTAACATGAGTAAAACATCAGCATAAATATCAACTAGAATTAATAGAATCATTATAATAAAAATGTGGGGCACAATTTAGTGCTAGGTTTAAAGAAAAATAAAACCTGTGTATGCCAGTACCTCTTCATTTATCTTCAACTATTATTAATGCTAGAAGGACCAGAATTTAAGAATAGTTTGAATATCTTGAAAGCTCAAGCTGCATCTTTTGTAGGATGATGATTGAAATTTTTTGTGTGTATTTCTAGAAACTATTTGCATTTTTTATCCATAAGGAAAAAATAGAGATAGAACCAAAATCTTTATTTTGAAGCAAAATTGTATCTGGTCATAATTATTTGCATTTAAAGTACATTTACCTAGATAGGAGAATCATAGTAAATTATAGTAAAATAATGAAAAATTTAAAAAAGATTTCTTGTGTCAATTGACAGACCTGGTCCTTTTAAATCATTCTATCTCTTACTACTGATTTTCCATCAATCTTGGGAAATATCACAACCTTCCAACTCAACTTGAGATTTTCTTGGAGTCAGACCCCCATAGAATTTATGGTTCTGGGACTTGTAGCCAACCTGTTAACTGCTTTCTTCCAACTTTTCAATTTGATATGGGGGTTCATGAAATTCTACTTTCTAGGTTAGAGCTTGTCAATGGAACCCCTTTTCTGCTCTCTCTCTTCATTTACTTTCAATAACAGAAAAAAAATTGCAAAGCTAGGTAATGTCTCTTGAAAAATCTGTAATCTTATTTTTTTTGTTTCATCAACAGGATGTCGCTTTCTCTCTTTTTTTTTTTTTTTTCAGTTAGTCAATGGGGTTAAGTGACTTCCCGGGGTCACACAGCTAGTAAATGTTATGTGTCTTAGGCCAGATTTGAACTCAGGTCCTCCTGAATCCAGGGCCGGTGCTCTCTCCACTGGGCCACCTAACTGCCCGCACTTTGTCTTTTCTTAATAGTTTGCAACCAGAGCTTCATCCTCAGCAATGCTCTTAAAAAGGATTTATTCATTTCATTCAACAAGCATACATAAAGCCCTGGTTATGTGCTAAAATCTGGGAGAGGTGCTCTGATACAAAGACAAAGTGAAATAGTTCCTTCCCTCAAGGGGATTATAGTCCATTGAAGGAAAATGATACGTACAGGGAAAATTAAATATATTTATTTAATTAAAATTTTTAATTAATTAATTAATTAATTTAATTTATGTATTTATTAAATTTTATTTAATTAAATATTTCCAAGGGGAGAGTGGTGGTAACTGGGGATGAGGGTCGAAGATGGGAGAGGCTTCCAGTAGGAGGGAGCCCTTGAGTTAAATTTTGAAGGAAGTTCAGGATTCTGCCAGGCAGAATGCATTCTGGATGTGGATCTAGCCAAGGTCAAAGCATAGGTGTGGGAAATGGAATGTATAGAGAGGACAAGTAGATCAGCTGGAACATAGAGTGTGTGAATGAAGAAGAATAATGTATAGGGGAGTAATAAGCTTGCCGAAGTGGGCTGGAGCAAGACATGAAGGATTTTAATGTCAGGGGGTTCTGTATTCCATGGTGGAGGCAAGAAGGAGTCATTGGAGTATGTCCAATTGTTTTCTGATGAAAGTCCTGGAGTTATAAAACCCCCAGAATATAACAGAAAGGAGCAAAAAAAAGGAAAAAAAGAAAAAAAGAAAAAAAGAAAAGAAAGCCTTAGGCACAAGGAAATAGGACAAAAACCTGCCTCTTGTTCCTTTTTCTGCATTCATTTTCTGCCTCTGGTTGGGAGAGGTGGTCAACTTTCAATATATATACATATATATATATATATATATATACATAAAGAGAAATATGACAATTTTTTCATTTTTTTAAATTTTTTATTTTTAGGCAATTGGGGTTAAGTGACTTGCCCAGGGTCACACAGCTAGTAAGTGTCAAGTGTTTGGTCTGAGGCCAGATTTGAACTCAGGTCCTCCTGATTTCAGGGCCAGTGCTCTATCCACTGCGCCACCTAGTTGCCCCTAAATATGACAGTTTTAAAATAGACATATTAGGTTTTATTTCTGGCTTCCTTTAAGTCCCAACTAAAATATCAGCTTCTATAGGAAGTCTTCCCAATCTCCTCTTAATTCCAGCGCCTTCCCTCTCTTAATTATTTCCTATTTATTCTGTATATAGCTTGCTTTGCATATATTTGTTTGCATATTGTCTCCCTCATTAGATTGTAAGTTCCTTGAGGGGAGGGACTGTCTTTTCCCTCTTTTTGTATTTGCAATACTTAGCATGTGGCCTGCCATATAGCAGGCACTTAATGTTTATTGATTCAGTGATCTCCATTTGGTGTAATACCCTAATTCTTCCTATTAGAGATTCATTTGGATGAACAGATAGAATAACATTTAAAAATATCTTTTAAAAATGCAAATGTCTAGGCCTATCAATCACTCACACTTGACTTTAAATGAGTTCATCCAGAGTACTTCCTTCTAACATTGGTCCCAGGAGAACCAGAGCAGCAAAATGCACATTAAACATGAGTTCAGAAAATAGGAGAGTCAACCTTTAAAGATTTAGAGGCCATATATACCCCAGAACAGAGCAAGATGGAAAGTTCATAGGAGCTGAAGCTTCTTGCTCAGGACAAGCCAGCCATCAGATTTGTATCAATAATATTTCAAGTTAGATTTTCGGAAGAACTTCCATAGAGTTTTTCTATGGATACCATCCATGGAAGATGGTATCCATACTATTCAAATAGGTGATTGGGTGGGGGGAAAGAGGGGTTGTAGAATGTCCTTCCCTGGAAAACACTGAGAACGGGGAAGAGTGTGTAGGTTGGCCTGTCTGATGGTAAACCACGAAGGTAGAGGGTAAACTCATTTAAAAGTTTCTGTTAGCAATGTTCTCTGTCCCCTGGGCCCATATGTGCTGTGGCAAGATCTCCAGTGCCTACAACAACATTTCTTCTTTGTCCTGCACAATTGAAAGTCAAGGGTATTGGTGGACTCCTGGGAATATGTCAAGATGGTTGAATTTACTGTGCCCTTAAACTCCCTTTTCTGAGCCCTGCTCCATTATATCAATACTGATGGGGAATGGATGGATGCTAAAGAATTAACAGTAGGTTAAGAGAAATGTTAGAAATTGGTTGTTGTTTGTCCTTCATCCTCAAAGAGGACCAATGATGTCAGCAGGGTGATGTCTTGACTTGCAAGTGAATTGGATTCAAGTGAGGCAAAGTCATCAGCCTCACTCTTACCTCCAGAGTTATCAGAGTCCAGTGGCAAGACATAGGTCAGGATGATTGGTAATGGCCCCTATTCAATGGGACACCTTGGTCTTTTTAAGCTAAGGTCTTTCCCAGGTCTCAGTTTGTCTGAGGCAGCACCTATTCAGTGACTAAGGCTAGGTAAGAAATGAGGCAAAAAATGACCTAGTTTCCCTTCACAAAAAATCAGTCTGGGAGGAGAAGACCCTCAGAGTTTCTAGCCAGAACCTAAAAATTCATATGACTGTTTGAAAGTAATGCCCATTATACTTGTTTATATAAATGGATTGCTCATCTAATTATTCTCAAGTAAAATCAGGATTCTTCATGTCATTAACTATACAGAATCATTATGTATGCATATTCACATATAACTTTATACAGCCTCTTTTTACTGCTCTCTGACATGGTTCTTGTGTGAAAAGCATTCAACCTTTCCAATTTCTACCTTTTCTTCGCACTCAGCTCAAGTCTCCTGGGGTCTTCTTTGACTATTCCAGATTTCAATTCAATTCAATATTTTACTTAATACCTATCAAGTGCAAGAAAATGTGACTTCAATCAATCAATGAACGTTTATTAAATGCCTGCTGTGAGCCAGGCACTGTGCCAGGAACTGGCAAAATAAAACGGATCTCTTCCCTTAAGGAACTTGGGTTCCCTAGGGAAGACAACAAATACATATATAAGTATGTACAAAAAGGCATAAATATGCTATATGCTGTCCTGTAACATGCTGTTTCCTGTGTTTTAGGCTTAACTCTCTGATCAAACTGTAGGCTCTCACTGGTCCAGGGCTGGGCGCTTAGAAAATAGGTATGGAATTGTGAGTTATGGAATTTCACTTCCTCCACAGAAGGAGATATGATTTGCTCCTCATCTGATCGAAAGGTAAAAAGCTAAGCAGAGAGAAAGATTGCCTTTTAATCTTTAAAGTCTTTAAAGTAAATCTTTAAAAAGTCTGAAGTTTCTAAGCATCCTTCCTTTGTTTCCATTGCCAAGAGTTGGGAGACTGTCCTAGTCTGGGTACCCATCCATGCTCATTTTGGGAAATAGCTTGCCAAGTATGACCTATGCATGTGATTCGTGAAACATGATTTATCCAAATTTTCACTGCTTTAGAGATATTCAATTTACTCTAATGATATCTCTCAGAGAGTTATGTCTATTC